AGGCTGTTGTGGGCAAAGGTATTTTATTTTCCTTTGCATTATATGGCTTGTAATTACGTGGTGAACAATACAATTTTGCTAGTAGTTAATATAGACTGATCCGTGATTGATATTATGATGTGCAGACAAACTTGTGGTGTCCACCTCCTGCTCACTTCTCCACACTGCTGTTGATCTAGTAAATGAGACTAAGCTAGACGATGAAATCAAATCCTGGCTTGCATTTGCTGCCCAGAAAGTTGTTGAAGTCAATGCACTTGCCCAGGCATTGGCTGGTCAGAAGGATGAGGTATCTCCTTAGAACTTTGCCAGTTGTTTTTGATAGTTTCCTAAGAAACTAGGATAGCATCTTTGGATGGGCCTTAAGCCTTCCGGGTTGGTCTTTTCTTTTTTTTTTTTTGGTGCTTTCTCAAGATTTGGATGATACTATGTCACTTACTTGTTATTCTTCTTCTATTTTAGGCCTTCTTCTCTGCCAATGCTGCTGCTCAGGCTTCAAGGAAGTCCTCCCCAAGGGTGACCAATGAGGCTGTTCAAAAGGCTGTAAGTGTTTTGATCAACTAAAATTCCTATTGTCTTTCAAGTGCTGCTCTGCAATAATCCTTTTCTTTGTGGAAACCTTTCTTGCTTATTATGTTTTACTGTGCTTTGCTTTCCCAGGCTGCTGCTTTGAAGGGCTCTGACCACCGTCGTGCAACTAATGTTAGTGCTAGACTGGATGCCCAGCAGAAAAAGCTTAACCTTCCAGTCCTTCCCACCACAACCATTGGATCCTTCCCTCAAACCTTGGAACTCAGGAGAGTTCGCCGTGAATTCAAGGCTAAAAAGTGAGTTAACCTGGGAAATTTCCCAATATCTTTCTTATGAAATGTCAGTATGACCATTTTATTAACTAGTGCCTCTCTGACTTCAGGATCTCTGAGGATGATTATGTTAAAGCCATTAAGGAGGAAATTAAGAAGGTTGTCGACCTTCAGGAAGAGCTTGACATTGATGTCCTGGTTCACGGAGAGCCTGAGGTGAGCACTCCATTTTCTTTTGGCCTTTTGCAGTAAAAGGGAGATGCACATCTATGGTTAGTTCTTGGCAAGCACCCTAACTATCACTTATAATTGTGCAGAGAAACGATATGGTTGAGTACTTTGGTGAGCAGTTGTCTGGTTTTGCATTCACTGTTAATGGGTGGGTGCAATCTTATGGATCTCGCTGTGTCAAGCCACCAATCATCTATGGTGATGTTAGCCGCCCCAATCCCATGACTGTTTTCTGGTCATCTACCGCCCAAAGCATGACTGCCCGCCCAATGAAGGGAATGCTTACTGGCCCTGTAACCATCCTCAACTGGTCCTTTGTAAGAAATGATCAGCCTAGGTATGCCTAAGAAGAAAATGTTGCATTTCTGCCAGCATTTTTTTTTACTTTGCAATATGAATATCTTTTGACATTCTACGCATACCAATTTTCCAGATTTGAGACATGCTACCAGATTGCTTTGGCCATCAAGGATGAAGTGGAGGATCTTGAGAAGGCTGGTATCAATGTTATCCAAATTGATGAGGCAGCTTTGAGAGAGGGGTTGCCTCTCAGGAAGTCTGAGCATGCCTTCTACTTGAAATGGGCTGTCCACTCCTTCAGGATCACCAACTGCGGTGTCCAGGACACTACCCAGGTTTGTATATGTGCTTGATTGCTTTCGAGTCTCAAATCATTCATATTCTCCTACACTTTATGATCATAATTCTTATTGGTCTCATCTTTTTAAACATCTGACAGATCCACACACACATGTGCTACTCCAACTTCAATGATATCATCCACTCTATTATTGACATGGACGCTGATGTCATCACCATTGAGAACTCACGTTCAGATGAGAAGCTCTTGTCAGTCTTCCGTGAAGGAGTGAAGTATGGTGCTGGAATTGGCCCTGGTGTCTATGATATTCACTCTCCCAGAATACCATCAACCGAAGAGATTGCTGACAGAATTACCAAGATGCTTGCTGTGCTTGAAACCAACATCTTGTGGGTTAACCCTGACTGTGGACTCAAGACCCGCAAGTATGCTGAGGTGAAGCCAGCCCTCAAAAACATGGTTGCTGCTGCCAAGCTGCTCCGCACCCAACTTGCCAGTGCCAAGTGAGAGGCTCAACAGAGATTGGAGATGCTCCTCCCTGGATGATTTATACCCAAGTTGAGAGAGAAGAAAAAAAATTAAAGAAATATGTCTTGATCATTTGAATAACTGTTTCTTGATGAAATATTTGTTAGGCATAATATGCCCCATGGGCCAATTGATTTCCTTCTTTCTTTTTGGTGGTTTTTTTCTCTAAATATTTTGTATTTTTGGGAATACATATGCAGCCTTAAATTTGTTTGAAAGGCGCGAAATTTCTTAGCGTATCTTAGCCGAATGAAATGTCATAATATGTTTTGAGTTCAGTGTATTGTTAGCATCCCTTCAAAGCCATTGCCTCTTTCACTCTGCATGATACCGGCAATGAATCTTGTTTTATGCTTTGAAGCATTTAACTTGCATGGGGTAATGTCGCAATGGATTTTGCAACATGACTTGTTTCTTCTCGTATTCGCTTGGATTGTTGTCCATTGCAACTTAAGTTTTCACCAGGCTCCAAGGAATGGCAAAAACTAGTACTTGGCTTAAAGATTGTTGCACAAGGATTGCAAGACCTGACCATTTTTGGCTGGCGCTACAACTACGTAGGCTTTTCCTCCCTGTCCCAGTAATCCACCAGCCATTTCACTTGTAAATCCAATCGAGAATGGAGAATGGAGAATGGAGAATGGAGAATGGGCTAGAGAGGTCTATTAAATAAAATTGAAACTAAAACAAACGATAAAATAAAAAAAAAATCGAAAAAGACGGGTGATTTTATTTTCGAAAGAATCGAAATACAAATTAGTTTGGACTCCCGCATCATATCTAGAATCTAGAATACAAATGGAATCATAGCCTTGACTTTCTCAGGAAAATCTTCAAACTTGGAAAGGTACCATCTCCTAGTGGCATAACTCCTGCCCATCAAGTAAAAAGTAGTGCCTAGAGCAGATGAAAATGAATTCAAAGTTTGGGAAATGAAGGCAAACCCCCAGAACACTAAAACCTCGAATAGATAGTGAGGGCATGTTACAAAGTCAAACAGCCCACCCTTGGGGATCTTATATTCTTTGGCACCTTTGCATCTCAATTTGGAAAGAAGGCAATGATGGTAGAAATTACCACTTATTCCTATTGAAAACAAAAGAATTCCAGGATACATCAAATCAATTGTTGGCTCTGGAAGTCCCACTGTGAGATGTTGGGAAAAGATCATGAGTGCACTGGATATGAAGTAACTGAGAAGTATGGCTACCATTGAGTCAGTAGCCATTTCACCACTGTACTTGTGAACAAAAAAGGACTGCACAATGAAAAATGGTTAACAAGACTTGAGGATTATGAAAGTGTAGAAATTTTTTTATATAAAAATATATTATGAAACAACTAGATGCAATTTATGTTTTCTGTAGATGAAATGAGAGTACCAGAAACAATGCCATTGCAGGGTAGGACACATTTTTTACGAGACACACAGGAGTTAATTACCTCAAAAATCCTCTTGAAGAAATGGATAGTAATGGCAGATCTGAGCAACACAAACCTGAGCCCCTCATCTGGGAAAATTGCAAACGAAAAGACCCCGGCAAGGAATGCTGGTGTATAGAGCGTAACCATGGCAGCTCTACTGGAAAGCTTTATCTTCGATTCTGCAGAAGTTTGTGACCCAACGCCAAAGAACTTAGAATATTGCAAATGTTTCCCTCTTATTTCTGATAACCCAGAAATTGCCAACGGTGTAAAAGATACTAGAGCCGTTGCAGTCACGAACAGAGAAGGTGGGAATAGAAATTTCGTCAGCAACGACATGGCTTTTCTTTTGCTTCTGTCTTGACTCGTGAACCTGATCTGAGTGTGTAAACTTTATGCATTCTGATCAAATTGCAACCACATATTTAATGGGTGCGGATTGGGAAAAGGCATCATTGCACAGTATAATCTTTATAAATTCAAACTTAAACGCGATTAAATAGTGATGTTATTGATTTTCATTGATAAATTAATAATTTATTAAATTTATAAAATAATATATTTAAAAAATATTTATAACTTTTACTTGATATATAAATTAATAATTTTTTATATATTAAAATTATATATATATACATGACTTAATTAAAATGTTTTTATAAACTATGATTCCAATCTTATTTGTTTTTTTTTGAATTGATGTTTTTTAAACTTTATCTTTAACTTTTTTTATTACATTAAGAAATTGTAATGTAACATTTTCGTATTGTAAAAAAAATTCTGCATAATGCATGCATATTAAGTTTAATGATTTTAAAAAAAATATCTTAATAAATTAATTTTTATTAATTTATGTATAAATTAATTCAGAATGATTAAAATACCAAACAGCTTTAATTCAAAATAATATCCTTGTCTCGTAAGTAGACATAAAGCATTTCAAATATATATATATAAATTACAGATTATTGTCTACGAACCATTCCCTTCCCAGAGAGGAAACAATAAAATTTTTTGAAAAAAGTTTAAAAAATTAATAAAAAAACTCCGTCAACTATAAGTTGAAAACAAAGAAAAACTTATTTTTCTTTTATGTAGTATATGTAAATCCTGGTTGTTTTGTCAGTGGAGGGAGAGCCAACAGAGAGAAGGGGAAGAAAAATGTACAAGTCGAAATTGCAAGAGCTATGCCAGAAGAAAGCATGGGAATTACCGGAGTACGACACCACAAAGCAAGGCCAAGATCACAATCCTCGGTTCGAAGCTGCCGTGGTCGTAAACGGCATGTCGTTCCAGTCTCAGAATCTGGTCAGGTCTGCCAAAGAAGCCCAAAACGACGCCGCTCGTGTGGCTTTCCTATATTTCACTTCTCCTCCTCTTCCTAATCCTGGTACCACATTCTATTTGAGAAAAATCCAAACCCAAAGATATTATTTTGTTTTACTTCTGTTTGCTCCCTAAGAAAACGCGGGAAAATGTGAAGGAAACAATTGATCATGTTATTATTTATAGAAGTTTAGATATTTTATTTTTTTGTGTTTTAATGTGAAATGAAATTGTCGAAAGTGGCGAAAATGAAACAAACGCTAAAATTTGAATTTTATGATTTTGGGTAATTTGAAGTCCCAAGGATTTGTTTTGTTTGTGTATAATAAGCTGCATAAACAATGTTTTTTTTTTTGAAATTTAGCTGAATAAACTATGTTGATGGCAATGTTCTTGAATGGAGGTCTTTACTTTGGTTTGGTGGATCGGATTTTATAACTTTGGGAATGGATTTCGGCGTTTATTTCTGTTTTCCGCAATTCAAATAGAAGGTGAAATTATGGTGGGTTGATATTGAGGTTTATGGATTGTAACAGGTGTTCATTGACGTGTTGTAAGGTGCTCTATGCCAAAACGAGAGGAGATGCTCCTCTTATCTAGAGGAGAGCTAATCCTTCTTGTACCATTTGTTAATATCAATCAAATTATTGGCTTAACAGAAAAAAAAGGTGAAATTTGTAGAGCTAAATGGTTGTTTTGAAAATACTAAATTGGATATCTTTTCAGTTTTCATATTAAATTGGTGTGAATATTGTAAATGAAAATGTCAAGGACAGGGTAATTGTTCTATGTCTTTAGTTGACAGTAAATTTTGTGGTTTTGTCTGCGTTTAAATTTTTTTCCCCCCATTAATGCTTTGTCATATCACTTGAATGGCCTTATCATTTGACTTTGGGAATAAGTTATCGGTAATCATTTGTGGTTTATGTAGCTTTTACATATAGAATTGAATTATAAATTGCCTTTTCGAACTCATTATTTTTCATATGCATTGGAGCTTGTTCCTTTTCCGCTTTCCCTGTTGGGTTTATTCACTAATTATTTTTCCAAATTCAATTGCCCTGATCACCTTCGGAAACTGGTGCTTGGAGATGTAAAGTATAAAAACCGCTGTTAATTGTGAGATTTTTTGATTTTATCTTTTAGGAAATAGTATGACAATTGATTGCCTTTAAGATAGTGTGGGTTTTTAATGCACCTTGTAAAGAACTGTGTTGATTTTCTCAGGTACTCTTTCATTGACGTTTCATTGGAAATCATGAGTACCGATATGGTTGTAGATCATAAAATCCTTGTTATATGCACCTCTAGCTCTTTGATTTTTTATGACTTACCAATACATTTTTTTCTCTTTTATTAAAGACTTTAAGATTTATATTTTTCCCCCCTTTGCGTACAAGTTTTCAAGTTTTATTAAATTTAGCATGCATATGCTAGAAAGTAAATTATCTTCTTATGTTTGGTTGCTGTGGTTCTTGCAGGTTCCTCTAATGTAACTGCTAATTTTGATAGTAATACTGAAAACAGAAGGACAGTGCAACCAGGAAGACAAGAAACAAATCGATATTCTCAGGTCAATGAAACTGGCTCCGTTTGTAAAGATAATCACAGAGTTAAAGGTCAGCAATCTTCTTTTGTACTCCAAAAACCCTAATTTTCCCCACCCACACCAAAAGAAAAACTGGATATTTTGTTTGTTTAGTTTACTTTTTTGTCATAAAAGATGATTGAAAGTGGTTCATGTTCCCACTTGAGTGCTGGTGTCTCCTCTTGCATTTGAGGTTAGACTTTATACCCTCAACTAGGTACTGAAAATTATACTGTTTAAGTCTCAACCCGGAGCTCAACTTTGTATTGTATCACATCGAAAACCTTGTCTTCTTTCGAGTGTTTATAAAATATATTCTACATGATACATGTTACGTTACTGGCAAGGGCGGTTGTAGATAAGCCAAGTTACTTGCTTAGCAGTCAACAAACAAGCCAAACTCATGCCTAAGGTTGCATTGTTTATTAAAGCTGCACTTAGTTCATATAGGTTTTGAAGTGTGCGGCTTGCCATCTTCAGTAGTTTTCTCTTCTACTGAATGTTGCTCATAAATTTGCTTGTTTTAGCTTGATATTGTCTTCATATTCAGCAGTTTGAGCGGTTATCAAGTGAAGCTACCCAAACTTGCCAAGTGCAAACATGGTATTTTGTTGAGCTGAGTGCAATCTTCATAGGAATTGATTTAGCTTAAGTTAGCTAGTTTGAATTCAAGTTTGGCTCTAGCTAGTGCGTTGATTGACCTAGCTAAGCTTGAAACAGTATTGACTAGACTAGCTTGATTTAGCTCCATGTTACCCTGCTGAGAGAAAGTAATTGAAAATAGAAAAACAAAAGTTCAAAAATTTCATGTCATTGTACAGAGTTCCTGGGCTCTGCTGACTTTGGATTGATGGGAACTGGCTTAGAAAGACTGCCCTACTGTTTTGATATGCCTCAAGTACCTCATTTAGAATTCTTATGCTTGAATCTTGGAGCCAATTAAAATTTAAAAGAAAAGCAAGAATACAGCAGAGCAGATAGTAGTAACACTGGAAACGCCTTTGATGTCTCAGCTGCCTTGTTTTTAGTTATACTTGCTGTGTTTTCCTTAGTTTCACCCTAACATGTTATTTTTGTTAGTTATTATTATCTTCTGACTTCGAATTGATGGCTTATAGATATCCAACACTTGTACAAGAACCTACTGCAAGTGTTTGCTCAAAAGAGAAACCTTGATCTACCAGTATATTCTTGTGAGTTTGAGGGTCCTCCTCATGCAAGTCGCTTCAGGTGCAAGGTCACTTTCAATGAACAAACTTATGAGAGTTTGGAGTTCTTTCCAACAATAAAGGAAGCTGAACATGCAGCTGCAAAAATTGCTTTATCGTCTTTGTCTCCGGATGCTTTTCAAGAGGTCCAGTTTGCTGATTAATGGAGCATTTTGCCTTTGTTGCTTTGCTGTAGTTTATGATATTCTTGAAAATGTTCAGTTGTTGCACATCGCTAGGGCTTGAGTTTTTTGTCTTTGCTTTCTACCTTTTTGTTTTCTTCTTCAGGAAGACTTTAGCTTCTACAAGAACCTTTTGCAAGAATTAACTCAGAAGGAAGGTTGTCCTCTACCAGTTTACACAACAACTAGATCTGGTGAAGCCCATGCATCGACATTTGTTTCCATAGTGGAGGTAAAAGGAAACGTTTTCACAGGACAGGAAGCAAAAACCAAGAAGCAGGCAGAGGTTTTGGCAGCAAAAGTTGCTTACATGAAATTAAAAGAGTGTATGTGCTCTAAACTCCCCGTTTCCCATTTTCCTTTTGAGAAAAACAAAAGTAAGAAAAAGAAAGGGCCCTTTTTTCACCATACTGTTGATTGTCTCTCCTTTTCATTGCCCTTTCTCGTTTTTATGTTTGACTTGCATTGTAAATTGGCTTTTGGAAGACACAGGAGAATGAAATTTGTTTGACATGGTTGCTCTGAGGGCAAAAACATTTGAGTGCCATGGCATGTAATTCTTAAGTTTTATCACATTGTGGAGAAAGATGATTTATGTTCAGCAAGTCCTGACAAGCAAGTGAAAGGAAAAGAAACCTTTCATCTATGATGCCCTGAATGAATTTATTGCAGCATGAGTTTACTCAAAATAAGCGGTTTCTGTGCTGGGACCATAAAGATTTTTGTGAAACTGGAGACACTTATAAACTTTAGGACTTGCACGTTGATTCTTCCATGGAATTTGACTCTACTGGAAATCATTATTTTGCCTATCTTTAGCCTAGTGATAAGACAACAGCATCTGGGGGAAGTAGGTCTTTGGTCCGAATCATAGTAGTGAAAAACAGAAGATAAATCAATTACTTGCTTTGAAGAAAGCTTGTAGGTTTGTCATATCATTGTGAATTATTTGTACGAGCACGTTAGTCTTTGGTCCCTGTTTGTGAGTATTATGGGCAGTTCTTAATTTATTTTTCCCATTTCTGAGTAGTTAAAGTGCTTACAGTTATGCCTTCCTTTTCAGGCAAGTCAAATAGAGGCTCTATGATTATTAATCCTGCCTACCAAGAACGACAAGTGCCTGTGCTCTCAGTTTCTCACTCACATTCAAATGTCAATGCTGATACCCAACAGAATTTTGGACCCAAAGCCTGCACAGTATTCAGTCCTAGTTCAACTACAGGGAAGGATCAGCATGAGGATAGAGGTGATTATTCAACTGGTAACTTCTAGCATTTAATATTCAATTACAGAAAAAGTAGATGGTTGACAAGTTCCTGAATTTACATGCAAATGGTTTTGTATTCGGTGCCTTAGCTCCTTAATGATTATCTTTCTAGAAGTATTTATGCTTGGAAAAGGCCAATACTTGGTGTGGATACATCATGAACTACTAGATAGATGGACCATTAGAAACCTATGTACAGTGGTGAGTTGAGAAGCAAACAACAATTTGCTTCGGAGACCCATGAGTGCTGGCCTTTTCACTTGGTTAACAGCTAGGTTTTTCTCCATTACATATTTATGCGTGCTACCTTCATAATAAAAATGTCAGTTTCCTGCATTGGCAGTTTTACATAGGTGGGATTCACTGCACTGTGCAAAATCTTTGGTTGCTCACATGGATGAATGCAAACACTTTTGTGCATATACATGCATACAAACACTTTTTAATTCATTAAACTAGTGTCCATCTCTTTTCATCTTTGGTAGTCTAATTGTATGCATCCTGTTGAATATTAGCTTCTGATATACATTTCTTACAGCCATGTTCCTCACAGCATTTTCATGTGAATTGCTTGCAGTTCATGGAACATTTCGCAATCATCTTCTCTCTATTCCATTCCCACAGCCAGAAATGACTACAGATTGGCAAAGTAGCTCATCCACTTCTAGTATGTATGATCCTCTTCTTCCGGAAGATGACCTTTCTATGTCTAATTGGCCATCTAATCACTCAGCTACTACCAATTCGGATACAAATTCAATCACGATGGAGCCTGTTGCAATGGGTAACTTACCCTGCAACAGGGTCGTAGTTCTTCCCCGTGCGCCAAACTTGAAGTTTCCTGCTGGTTGGACTCTGCTGCCCATGAGTGATGAGAATTGGGTTGCCTTTAAGTTTGAATCTCAACCAAACCAGTGACTCCTATGAACTAAATATTTTATCGCAAATGCTACGTTTTACCATGCTTGGAATTGCGAGGCCCAATGTGAATTTTCATGTTTATGCTACTGCTTTCTGCAAACAGAAACTGATGAATAGAACATATGTAATTCGTTACATCACCTTTGCTCCTGGCTTAGCCATTTTAGGTGTTTGAAAAACTGGACATGAGGGAAAACATCATTATCCGCCATCTATGGATACGCCTCTTCTAGTTGCTCATGCCTAATACAGAGTTCATTTTGACTACAGGCATTCCTAGCAATTGGCAATGTGTTAGTTTACACCGGTAAAAGATGAGATAGGTGGGAGATGTGAGCAAGGGAAATGAGCTGTTCAAGTGCTCCCCTAACGGGTATAGGAGAGATTGAAGATTAGTAGACAAAGAATGGGGATTTAAAACAATATTACACTTCATTTCTGGGAGTTTTAGGCACATACCAGTCTTAAGTATGTTTCACCGTAGAAATAAGAAATCTGAAAAACCTACTTCTGACTGGGATTGAAAATTTTCTCTACAAGAATTTGGTCTAGTCAACCAAACAACTATAATCAAATAATTGAGCTTGAAGGACAAAAATAATGGAACCTTTGAGGCTCACATGAGAACTCCCTCACTGTTATTAAGGGCTTTCTTTGCAACCTTAAATTTATCATTGACTTTCTTGTTCGTTTTCACAACATACTCCTTGATGAAGAACTCCATGCCTTGTCGAAGAGGTTCAAGCTCTGGGGTGACGGCTATACGTGTGAACATGTTCCATATAAGCTTATCAGGGTACTCAAGGATGGCCTCAAATAGCATTCTGAAATGCATGACCCTTTTTGAGCTTAGCATCTGGGGATCGCTCCACTCAACAGTTTTTAGGACTGCAAGGGAGAGAGTAAAAGAGGCAACCATTTCTGCAATGAATTTTGCTAGGTGCATTGATCTTATAATTGGCATTGAATCCAGCTCTTTGAAATGGTCCCAGAGACAGAACTGTGAGAGGATGCCATATTAAAGGAGGATCAAAAAAGAACTTCCGAAAAGTTCATTTGGCATACAACAGCAATTCTCAAGTAAAATGAAAAGGAAAGGAAAATACCTGTAAGGTAAACTTGTGGTTTTTGTCATGCTCACACAGCTTGGCAGCAAGAACAGTGTAATACTTGTTAAACACCTTCTCTTGCAAGCAGCACTCGACAAGAACTCGCATAATATCCCTGTCCTGTAGATGGATGTTCAAATTAACTATTGAGGGATGAGAGAAAAAGGCACCTCTCTTTCTCAAGAAAAAAAGACTCCTCACCTGCTTTCCAGGCAAATCCAACCTTAGAAGCTTCTCAAATGCGTCAATGTAGTCTTCCCCGCTCATTATAATACAAAAGATTGCCCTCCTGGCATCTGTATTCATCCTTTGTGCGGCAGCAAGCTCCAGCATTTTCTGTGCCTCGAGAGATTCTTTATCGATTCTGCTGGCAACCTCTTCAACATCATTGGTTGCAGAGACCAAATCCCCAGACAACCACCATTGACCCTTCTTTTCAGGATCAAGCAGCTTGCTCCATTTAAGCCCTCTAATTAAAATAGTTTCAACCTTTAACTGAAAATATCAAGAGCCATGACAATATGAAATCACCAAAAAAAAAAAAAGGTGCACCATGAAACCTATTAATGATTTAAGAACCTTATTGAGAAAAATGATAAAGAAATATAAGATCCTATCAATTTTCATTGAAATACAGCTGATGACAGGCAATGGGTAATTTATCACATGTAGCCAGGCTAAAACTAAAAGGTTTAATTGATTAAAGGTATTCTTGATGCAAGTTTAACTCCAAAAGGAAAAAAGGGCAAAATTAAATAAAAAAGAGGTTCCAGAAATACAAATAGAAGCATTACCTTTTGTAACCATTTCTTGATCCGAGTGTGTTGCACCGTATCTTCCTTGGGCCGTTTCTTGTTATTTTTGATATCACATATTGTCTCAAGCATGAATTCCATCTGCAAAACTAACAATATAAGATATCTTAAAATAGAAGAAAATTAGCTCACTAGACCTAAAAGAAAGCTAATAAAAAGCTTACTCTTCTGCCATTTATTTTTGCCTGGCCGTCTCCAGAGGAAGCCTTTAACTCGTTCACCCTGTTTTGAACGCTAAGAATAAAATTTTTCATTTTCGCAGGATCATCACCCCTTATTTTCATCCCACAGCCTATTCAATCAATGAAAATTCATGTTAGAAATAATTTGCTTGTCCAGAATCTAGAAATTTTTATGCACACATGCAAGAACTTCAACATTATGCTATCATCAAATATCATACAACAATTAATTTGTGCATCATAAATTTTGCAAAAAGACGAGATAAAAATAATAATTTATGTCAACAAATAAAAAAGTAATTGGTCAGGGAAAATTCAAAGCTTAAGCATTCTGTTTTCCATAAATGGTTTAGATACAACTTAACAATCAAATTATGAAAACAATTAAGTGAAGGTGCTTGTAATAAGCCTTACATTGTAAAATTGTCAGGATGGTAGAGACATCGATCTCTGTCAACCTCTCGCTCAACATGATCAGAAAATCATATATTAAATCACTGAAAACAAGCACCGGAAGTAGCTGTGAGAATAGTGTTGTAGAATACATCAAAAGCCATATTGAAAATATATAACAAGTTAGGATGTTGATAATAAGTTAACAACTCAGAAACAAAGATATAGTAACCATCAAGCAGCTTGTTTGAATATAATGGAACCACAAGTTAGGTGAAACGTCACAAACGTTGCCATAGATACGAGGAGTTTGTACAATGCATGAAGCTCATGTGGGTCATTTGGTGACTTTTAAACTGCATTGCATGATAACAATGCCCTTGTCATTCTGACAAGGACTATTGTTGTCATTACAGTGAAAAGCAAAAGAAATAGCTAATGCTTTCTGTGATCATCATGACCCCCTCTCATTGTGAATGTGACCACACTGGTGATATTATTGAGACATTAAATGATAAATAAATGCTCTTAACCATCAATTGATTCACTTCTTGGAAATGCTTTGATTGAGAGCATCCTTGCTTTACCTCAACAAAAATTTTCAGTAAAGTCAAGCATCAACATTTTTGAGAGTACCTACCTCGAGCAAACTCCAAAGATGCAGAGATAAGATAGCAAGAGAGTAAGATTTCGCAAGGAAAGATTGTCCACTTTGAGATACTCCTCCTGACAAAGAAAAATGTTTACTTTTAGAATTGCACCAGTGCAAACAGAAATGCTCTGAAAGTCCAAATTAGGATATAAACACACATATGATCAATAAAAGATGGCAAATTTAACCAATCAAACAAAAAAAAAAAAAGAAAGTGGGGAATTTTAAAGACTAAGCCTGCTTGAAGCAATAACCTTTCAAGTTAACAAATCTCGAATGTCAGCATCAATCATGAAAAGCATTTTTTATAGTAAGACTTGTAAGACAAGCCTGGATGACAATAAAGGCATTTAAAATAGAACTGCTTCTTAAATTGGTTAAACATACCTCAAAAGTCTTGGCAAGTGAAGCAATGAGTTTTGCACTGAAGTCCAGCCCAACTAAACAAGCCATGCCAGCAACAAAGGAGGCAAAGACAGCAGCATGCCTTTACAAAGAAACAGACAACATTAACAATAAATACAACTTCTGTAAGGAGAAAAAAATGAAGTTACAATAACAGCAATAAGATAAGCTTTCTCCCTCTAAATGCAGTCAGCTACATAGATCATACTGTGCACCTTGTACTCTATTAATGATCACTGTTATTCACTCTAGAAAGTATATTACTAGTGCTGATGAATAAAATAATTATTACACCATGTGTGTACTATTCAAATGGGAAGACATAGTTTTGTATCAAAATTTACACGTGCTATCTACAGCTACGTCATAAATGCTTCAGCTTTAGAATCACTGAAAGACAGGACATTAACGAGCAATGCTCTTCAAACAAAATTTACAAACACAGCACATATATGAACTGGAGAGTAGAAAATATTTAGAAGGAAGATAGATAAAATATAAAATAAAGTGAATAAGTTTCTTTATTATTATTCTTCTTTTAACTTGATAATATGATAGAGAACATAAAAGTTAAAGAGAGGCAAGTCGGCTCTTAACTGTTCATTGCCTCTAGGACCATTGTAACAAGATGCCAACACCTCCTCAATGATAATCTGTGAGCTGACACTGCAGCTAATTGACTGCAGCAGGGTATAATGATGTAGTTTAAGTCATATTGTTTTCATTCCAAAATGAAGAAACAGAGGATAGTAGATAGGTAACTGCATACTAATTTCTTAGAAAAAACCTCTTGCTCTGATTCTACATTTTCATTGAAGTACCTGTGTCCTACACATATCTGAAAGACATGGATATGGAGGTCCAACCCTCCAAATATGAGGAAATACTTAAAAGAAATGAACATGTCCATGTCAGATACGGGGCATACCAATATCTGACACTCACACCTGAGTCTAAGTAACATAGGGAAAAACTATCACAATAATGAAAAAGTTTTGTATACCATGAGGTGCCCTACTAACAAACTCATAAATGTGGTTTCAGTAAACAGCAGGCCCTCCATCCAAACAGTGGGAAACATTTATACCAGTTTCATGCACTAAAGTTGGAACAGACAAATCAATCAGTATAAACTCTAAAATGTTTATTTCTCAGTAAGACTGCAGATATAGATTAAATCTAATCAAAGGATTCAGAAGACAAGATACAGAGAATCATATTAAAACAAAAGGCTAGAGATAGCATAGTAGCATACATGAAAAATTGTGGCCATTTCCCCAGTAATTGATTCCACATTAGATTCAGACAGTCTATTCAGAAGACCTAGAACATAGTAAAAAAGGAAGCAGCATATCAAATTTAAATATGAAAGGCAAAAATCTAAAGCTTATAAAAACTTAGTTTTCATACCTCGAACTCGTCTGCGAATTTGAGTCTGCTCCTCCGACTCATTTCTTGCACGAGATCTCAAGTGAGGAGCAACATATTTTACATTGCCCTCCATTGCAGGTGCCTTGGGTGAAGCTTCATTTAATGATACCTCTTTGTTATGGCTTTCAGCAGGCAGGGATACACCAAGGGCCGTCTCACCTGCCATGTTAGCTTCTTGTCCTTGCTGCAAAAACTTTCTCTTCCTGTGTCTCTTACGTGCTGGCGCCTTTGCAGGAATATCTTCGAATGCCATCTCTGCATTGTCCTCCAGCTCAGAAGCTGCAATAGTTGAGTCATCTGCAATATCATCTTCAGAAGCCTGCTCTGCTGATTTTTTCTTCTTATGCTTCTTACTAGAAGTAGGGTTCACAGTTCTCTCATCAGAAAACCCCTCAGTATCTGGGACTTCTTCATTCCAAGATTCAAGAGCAGATGGCACATCTTCAAATAACATATTGAGGTCATCATCATCTCCCCTTAATTTACCATCTTTCACCTTGAGTTTCTTTGCAAGTTTCCTCTCCAATTCCAAGTCCTCTTGTGCAAGCGTGGCAGCATTCGGCATCTCCATTTCAATATACTCTTCAAACTTAGTCTTCAAAGTTCTTTTCAAGCTCCTCTTTCCTTTAACCATCTTTGATTCATTAAAATCATGATCTTCCTCAAGCTTCAATTTACTCTCTGCTTTACTTGGAATGATGGAGTGCTCACTAGCTTGTCGCACAATTTCATCTTCTTTAAGAAACCGAGCTCGCGAACTCTTTATTTTGTTCCCCTTTTTTGACTTTATGTCTCTTAATGGTCTCTCCATCCTCTGAGATTTCTGTAACTATAAAATTAACATCATATAACCGAAAAAATAATGCTACTTGCCTCACCACTTTTCTCCAAACTTTTTCCACTCCCTGATGTGACATATAATTATGGGATAATTTCAAATGTGAGATCTACTAATTCACGTGTGGATATTTAAATTCTCGATTAATATGTTTGAAGTTAACCAATAAATTATTGTCATGTCAGGTGGGCCAAACACAATTTTGTAGAAGAAAGAAAAGAAAAAATTTTGTATGCCTCTGAAGAGTAAGCCAGAAGAAAGAAAAAGATTAAATTGTACCTGATCTTCGAGCCATGAGTCATGTTTTTGCTTATTATGTGCTAATCGAGCTTCTTTTCGCTTTTCTCGGCGTGACTTACTCTCTGTGGCAGAATCAAAACAACATGAAAAAAAAAATTCTTTGCAATCTTTCAACTAAAAAACAAACCTACTTTACATAAAAAGAAAATAAATCAATAACAGTAAACTTAACCAATAAAATTGCTTACCCATTATTCCAAATTAAGCTTAATCACCAGCAAATGAACTGCCAAAACAAGAAAAAACTAATTTTAACTGCCTAATCAGTGATAGCGTGTGGCTAAAACTACCAAATGGGTAATCAATAAGAAGGCAAATTCTTTTAAAAAAATTCATAATTTAAAAACAGGTCAAAAAGTCATCAACAAAAAGGGTAATCATAATTGAGAATTATTATTTTTTCCTTTTCAAAAATCAGAAACATGAAGTTAAAAATGTAACTAAGTAGAATACTCTACATTACCTATTGCTAAAGAGCAAAAAAAGTAAAATAAAATAAAAAAGGAACTTGTTTTTCTGAAATTGAACTGCTAAAGCAAGAATTGTTATTCACAGAAAGTAAACAGAGATAGAGAGAGTACTTGGCAGTGTGTGAAGTTGGGATTCCGGATTAGGAACTGCCGTGCTTGGTGGGTCTCCGCCTGCAGCAGCTAACACGGCGGAGGAAAGCGGAAGAGCGGCCACTTAGCGGTGGAGAACCCGATTGAAGGAGAGAGAGAGAGAGAGAGAGAGAGAGAGAGAGAGGGGGGGACAGTGCGTGGGTTTTTAAGAGGGTTTTGCTCAGCTATTTTTGTTTTTTCTTTTCGTAGGTTTATTTATTTTAAAGAACCAAACTAATGATAAAATTGGTCTAACTTCAGCCTGTGGGTTTTTAACGGGCTCGCTGAGTCTTCGCTAGCTGGGCTGGGTATTACCAGTAACCTGGAGCAAATTTCAATCGGATCAAAAATTTAATCGACTCGAATACAATTTTGATAAAATGATTTGATTCTATTGATTTATTAGATTTATTAATTTAAAAAATTTGATTTAATTAATTTATTTTTTATTTTTAAAATTTTTAAATAAAATTAACTAAAGAACTTAATTAATATTATATATAAATATATATTATTATATATTTTAATTTATATAAAATATCTATATTTTTGTTACTAATTGGATAATTTATGATGAATAATTGTCTTGTATTGAATGATTTAATTTTGTGGATGTTAATTTTATTGTTTTTATTATGTTGAGTTTAGAATATTAAAATTAAAAATTAAAAATTTTTATATATTAATTTAAATATAAAATATTTAAATTTTTTTAAATTTTAATTAAAATTACATAAAAATTTATTAATTTAAAAAATAAATCTTTCATCTCAAAAGCTTTAATCATTAATAAAAAATTAAAATATCTTTTTTTTTTTTTCATATAATTTGATCGGCTGACAATGCTCTTTTTTGCTAGATGGTCATCCTGAGGTCAAATTTGACTTTCTTTGACGTTGAGGAGTGCCAAATCTAGCACAATTCCCGGACTTGGCTCTTTCTGAAAAGGAGCTCTACGCTCTCTCAAAGGGGAGCTCTCACGCTCATCACCTAGCTCGATGTGCTAGATTCAATTGGATCAAGATGGGGGAAGAAGATAATATTTTTTTTAAAGAAAGAAAAAATAAAAAATAAAAAATAAAAGTTTATATAATATTTTAATTTTTAACATATGTAAAATTAAAATTATTTCAAAAAAAGTTATTACATAAGCAAATTAATAAAAATTGTAATAGTTGATTAATTGTTAAATTAAGTGAAGTGTTTACTTATCAAATTAACAGATCTTTATAGAATTTTGATCAAAATTTAAAAGTATTAAAATATTTTATTTTTAATTTAATAATTTATGTAAAAAGATGTAATTATATAAATGAAAAGATAAATAGTATATATATTTTATATTTAAATTATTTATATATTTTATAATTATAAATAAAAATGATAAGTTTTAATATTATAATTTATAAAAAATAAAAACATAAAATTTTAATATTTTTATCCAAAATTTAATTGATGAAATTAATTCGACATCTCATCAGTTTAAAACTTTTTTAAAATTTAATTAATTTTTAAAAAATATTTGATGCACATTAATTATTACACCGACTTGTCTGGGCTCACTGATTAATAATTCGTGGTTATTCCCTTTCACGTGGCCAGTTCACATACTTGTCGACAGCTATTTACAAGTAAAAAAGCTTTCCTCCTGGTCAAGAAGCCTGGTCAGCCTCTACGTCAAAAAAACCACTCTTTCCACACTGTTTCGAACACCTTCATCTTTGCTCTGCGGGTCTCAAACTAATCATAGAGCTGAATCTATACATGGAGGTACACTTTTAGAAACCCTTTTAGCATCTACTTTCACCGTTGTGTTTCTTCTTGTAATCCTTCTTCTTTCTACAGCAATTACTCTGTTATTTCTGTTGTTGTTATTGGGTTTCTTTTCTTGTCTTGTTGGGGGTTTTGGTACTTTGGTTTGCTTCGCATCTAGTACAAAATACTAAAAAGAAAGAGAAAACATAAAAAAGAAATGGAGATCTGCATTTCCATTGCGGCTAAAACTTCCGAGTACGCGGTTGGTCCAATCACAAACCAAATTAGTTACATTTTCAAGCATGAAGGCAAGGTAGAAAGTTTGAAAATTGGGGTTGAGAAGCTGAAGGATGCAAGAGAAAGGGTGCGTCATTTGATTGAAGAGGCGAAAAGAAGAGGGGAAGAGATTGAGCAGGATGTGGAAAAATGGTTGACTCAGGTCAACAAAAAGCTTAGCGATCAAGATCAAGAAGAGGATGCAGACAAAGCCAAGAACAAGTGTTTAATTGGGTTGTGTCCTAATTTGAAGACTCGTTATCAGCTGAGTAAGAGAGCAGAGAAGGAGAGCGAGTCCATTGTTGAGCTTCTGAATGAAGCTGAGAAATTCAACTCAGTTTCGGTGTCGTACCGTCCAGCTCCCCAGGAGATAACGTCCACCTATGTTAAGGGTTTCGAGGACTTTGAGTCAAGGAGGCATGTATTCGACGGGGTTATGGAGGCTTTGAAAGATTCTAGTGTCAACGTTGTAGGGCTGTATGGATTGGGTGGCGTAGGAAAGACTACGTTAGCAAGACATGTTGCAGGGCAAGCTAAGGAAAAAAATTTATTTGATACTGTGGTGATGGCATTTGTAACACAAAATGCAGAGACAGCAGAAATTCAACAACAGATTGGAGATAGGTTGGGTCTGGAATTTGATGCAAAGACTATCTCTGTGAGAGCGGATCGGCTACGTGAGAGGCTGAAGAAAGAGAACAAGGTTCTTGTTATTTTGGATGATCTTTGGGCAAGACTGGATCTGGAAGCAGTTGGAATTCCTTGTGGAGGTGAACATGTGGGATGCAAAATTTTGTTGACTTCTAGAGATCTCAATGTTTTATCCATGATGGATTCTAGGAATAATTTCCCTGTTGGCGTTTTAGAAGAAAAGGAAGCCTGGAACCTGTTTAATAAGATAGCTGGTGACAGTGTCACCGAAAATCCTGACGTGTATTCCACAGCAATTGATGTTGCTAAGAAATGTGCAGGACTGCCAATTGCCATAGTAACAGTTGCAAGGGCTTTGAGAAATAAGGGTCTGTTTCAATGGAGAGATGCCTTGCAGCAACTAAGAACGCCTTCCTCAAGAAATTTCACTGGGATACCAGCACCAATTTATTCGGCTATAGAGCTGAGTTACAGTCATTTGGAAAGTCAGGAACTTAAGTCAACTTTCTTGCTGTGTAGTTTACTGTGTGCTGACACTCCTATTAGTGACTTGGTGAAATATGGCGTGGGTTTGGGTTTATTTCAAGGTATAAATACAATTGAAGAAGCACGAGACAGAGCATACTCGTTGGTCAATCAACTGAAATCTTCTTGCTTGTTGATTGACAGTTTTTTTGAGGATATTTTCTCAGTGCATGATGTTGTTCGAGATGTTGCACTATCAATTGCATTCAGGGAGCAGCATGGTTTTTCATTAAGAAATGAAGTTGCACCAAAAGACTGGCCTCCTATGGATATGCTAAATAACTGCATTTTCATGTCATTGTCGCACAACCATTTTATCGAGCTTCCTGAAGACCTGGAATGTCCACAACTACAATTTTTTTACATTTGTAATGTTTTTCCTACTCTGAAACTTCGGGACAATTTTTTCACAGGGATGAGAAAGTTGGAAGTCTTAGATTTGACTGGTGTGTGCTTTTCATCACTACCCTGGTCAGTTAGTCTCTTAGCAAATGTCCGTACATTGTGTCTGGATCGAAGTAGTTTTGAAAACATAGCTATTGTTGGAGAGCTCAAGACAATTGAAATCCTTAGCCTTCGAGAATGTGATATTAAACAGCTGCCAAGGGAAATTGGGCAGTTGTCTCGGCTAAGGATGTTAGATTTGGGTTATAATCCCAGACTGAAATTGATTCCATCAGGAGTATTTTCAAGTTTGTCTGGATTAGAAGAACTATGTTTGGAGAGTAGTTTCACTGAATGGGACATTGAGGGCAATGCTAGTCTTGTCGAATTGAAGCGTTTATCTAGGTTGACCTCGTTGGATGTACATATTCGGAATGTCCAAATTGTGCCAATGAAGTTGTTCTCTGAAAAGTTGAAAAGATACCAGATTTTGATTGGAGATATGTGGTATTGGTCTAGTCAGAGGAAAACCTCAAGAACATTGAAGCTCAAGTTAAATTCAAGCTTTCATTTGGATCATGAAATCAAAACCTTACTAAAGAAAACTGAAGATCTGTATCTAGATGAAGTGGAAGATATAAAGAATGTACTTCATGAGTTAGATGCTGAAGGCTTTCCTCAATTGAAATATCTCCATGTCCAAAATAGTCCAACAATGGAACATATCATTAACTCTGTGGAGTGGGTTCCTTGCAAAGCATTTCCTATCTTGGAGTCATTATCTCTTCGAAATATGATTAATTTTGAGAAGATATGTCATGGTGAAATTGTAGCAGAATCTTTTAGCAGACTAAAAATCATAAAGGTTGCACATTGTGATAGATTGAACAACTTCTTCTCACTGTCCACAGCCAGAAAGATTTTCCAACTTCAGGAAATTGAAGTAACTTACTGTAAAAACATCACAGAGATTGTTGCTGAGGAAAGAGAGGGTAACATTGAAGATAATGAAGCATTGTTCTGTCAACTAAGGTACTTGAGTCTTGGTTGTCTGTCGAATTTCCTTCACTTCTGCTCAAGAGAGGAAAAGCTTTTAACATCTGAACATGGACGATCACAATCGACCATTGACACAAGGTCTAAGGAAAGGACGCTTTTCGACGAAAAGGTACTTGTTGAGGTGATTTATTTAATAATACAAATTATTTGATTACTAATCCATAATCGAATTTGATTAAAATTGTATTAATCCTAAAAATTGTGTAAGGTGATTTATTGATTAATTATATAATAGTTTTAGGTGAAGAATAAAAAAAAAAACAATTATGGATATTTTAAGAGGAAATTGAAAAGGGCGCAAACATTATTTTGAAAGAACGATTAATCAAGGTTGAAACTAACTACTAAATAACCAATAACATACGAAAAGTTAAAAAAATGCCAATAAATCAGATTGAGTTTTAGGTGCTTAATAATAGCCTGACATTGATTTCTTTTTTATATAGTTGTGTAGCTCTTTACTAATTTTTCCTATGGATGTAGGTCACAAAAATTGAATCATGTTATATCTTGTGTTTTTTCTTTTATTATTATATTCATTATCTGATATCAATTTTATCGTCAGGATGTGTTTCCGAATTTGGAGAAGTTGGATCTGTTCTCAATCAACGTTGAGAAAATATGGCATATGTGCTGTTTTCCAGCTAATTGTTCTACTGTTCAAAATTTAACGACTTTCATTGTGAGTGGCTGTGGCAATTTGAAATGTCTTCTTTCATCTTCTATGGTTCAAAGCTTAGTGCAACTCAAAATGCTTGAGATTACTGATTGTAAGATGATGGAAGAAGTAGTAGTTGCAGAAGAAGAAAAAGTAAGCAAGATGATATTCCCTAAACTAGAGACACTGTTGCTCCGTGACCTTCCAAAGCTCACAAGATTTTGCTCTGAAAGTTTAATTGAATTTTCTTCTCTAAGTGAGTTGTTTCTAGAAAACTGCCCTTGTTTGAAGGTGCTTGTCTCGGGCTTCCCAGGTGCAGGCACAGCAATAAAGAAAGAAGAAAGGAAGAACAACTCAAAGGAGAACATCTATACTGTCGTACCAACTCTTTTTGATGAAAAGGTTGATTCATTTATCACTTCTCTCTTCTTCTTTTAGTCCCTTTTTTAAATAATTAGGAATTTTCTATTTATAGGTTCTTGCTTTCCTAGCATTCTAAATTTAGTATTTCCTTAGCTTTTCCTTGTACAATATCTTTGAATATATGCGCAATTATAATTGCAGTCAAATTGATGTAGGTGGCACTTCCTATGTTAAAGCGATTGTCAATTTATGGGATGGCTAGCTTGGAAAAGATATGGCATGACCAACTTTATTTGGATTCCTTATGCAAATTAAATTATTTTTCTTTGGGCTCCTGTGAGAAGTTACTGAATGTTTTTCCATTTAGCATGCTGGAAAGACTTCAGGGACTAGAGACATTAGTCATATTCAAATGTGATTCCCTAGAAGAAATATTTGAATCTCAGGGACTCTGTGCTCGTGAATCATGTGCTGCAAAAGCCACTCAATCGACTGAGATAGAAGCAATCACAAAGTTGGCATTTCCTCAAGTGAGGTCCTTAGGATTGACTAAGCTACCAAAATTAAAGAGTTTTTACCCAAGGTTACATTCTACAGAATGGCCATTATTGGAAAGAATGGGGGTGGTAGAATGTGACAAAGTGGAGATATTTGCTTCAGAGTATCCAAGCCCGAAAGAAATCCAAGGAAAGACCCAATTCGAATTCCCAATTCAACAACCCTTGTTTTGGGTCAATAAGGTATGAACCAATAAACTTCAATTTAAGGTTTGCTAGTTTTGGGAAGCCAGTTTTACATGTGTAGTGGATTCCACATTTATGATTTCATAATGTAAGGTCTTATATGCCAACATGATGGATGTAAAATAACCATTTTCTCATTTGATTGTTCTCACAATGATAGCCCATTGGTTTCTAGCCTATTAGGATAACTTTCATTTGCCTACTTTTCCTCAACTTCAGGTGTATGCTAAAATGAAGAAGAGTTACTCAATTCTGCTTCATGTACAAAATTAATTGATAATTTAACATTGCAAGAAGATTTATCAGATGTAAATATGGCTGCATACTTGATGGAGGTTGAATACAATTTTTACATCCTTTAGATAGTTCATCTGCATCGTTTTTATTGAACATGTTTTTCAATACACAGGTTACATTCCCTAGCCTAGAAGAATTGACATTGGTTAGAAAGGAAAAGGTGAAGGAGATATGGCAGGGACAAGTTCCGGCAGAGTATTTCAGAAAACTAAAAGTTCTTGTGCTCAGAGGGCTCCCTAAGCAATCAGCTACCTTGTTATGTCGATTCTTCAGATCGTTAAAGAGTCTTGAAAAACTTGATGTAGGTGATGCTTCTTTTGACAAGATATTCCAATGTGAAGGGCTTGCTGGTGAGGAAAAACATGCGTGGACATTTCATTGCTTGGCTGAATTAATGCTGTTTAGACTTCCTGAGCTGATGCATCTTTGGGAGGAAGGATTTCAACCTGGACCAATCTTCCAAAAGCTGAGAACTATAAAAGTTATGGAATGTGACAAATTGAAGTGTTTAGCACCATCTTCAGCTTCTTTCCAAAACCTTATTACATTGGAAGTATCAAAATGTCATGGGTTCCTAAATTTGGTAACACACTCAACAGCTAAAAGCTTGATGCAGTTAACTAGAATGAGCGTAACAGATTGCAAAATGATAGAAAATATTGTTGCATGTGTGGGTGAGGAAACGAAGGATGCAATTGCTTTCACTCAGCTGAAATATTTGGAACTTAATTGTCTACCAAACCTGGAATGTTTCTGCTTGGAAAGCTGTGACCTTGTCTTCCCATCCTTGGAACAACTAATTGTGATGCAGTGCCCAAATATGAAGATTTTCTCGAAGGGAGGGTTAAGTACACCAAAGCTGCAAAAAGTGCAAGTGGCAGAAGATGAAGCTAAAGGGCATACGGAGGGCAGCCATAACACCACCGTACAGCAGCTGTTCAAAGAGCAGGTAAGATTTTCAAAACCTTTCCTTGCAATTCCTAAAAATTCCAGTCCACTTTGCTTTCCCCAGCCGGATCAAAGTGATGGTCTAACTTTTTTTTTTTTTGGAATAAGTAAGGATTTTCATTGATCAAGACAGGGAGTCCCTGTAATTTACAAAAGAATCTGACTTGAGATAGTAGTCAGTTACTAACCTGCCTTACAAAAAAAGAGCCAAGGCAAGGACAATACGACATATGGCCTCTTGAACAATCACACATCAATTTTACTAGCATCCAAAAATCTTAAAACGAACCAGTAATTAGTGAAAACAGTAAACTCCGGTTTCCGTTCCTTACTGGCTGGAACAGAAAGTCATAAACCACACTTACAAGGCTGAGGCATCATTTAGGAAAAATATACAATAAATCGTCTGATCTTCCCACCCTGTTTTTGGCAAGGCTGTCAGTCATGTCATTACCCGATCTGGGGATGTGTTTGGTATCTCAACCTAGAAACTTTGAGCTCATTGACTTAATTTGAGAAACAATATACGGTAACCTCCATGGGAGTCCAGAAGGCTTAGAAATCTAGAGTACTGCATTCACGGAGTCACTTTCCAAGATAAGACTTTTCTTTGTAGCCCACGGGGAGGCTGAAAACAAAACCATTGCCTCCTTAATGGCAAGGATTTCAGCTGAGTGGGCATCACCACAACCAGTTGATTTTGAGAATGTCATCTTCACTGCCCCAGCTCCATCTCGAAGAACTCCCCTTAAACCTGTCTGAGCAGTGGAACCATTACAAGCATCGTCCGTGTTAAATTTCAACCAACCTTTGGTGGGGTTACCCATAGAACCGAAGCTTTATTGACTGTCTCTTTTGAGTTTGCACAAACGTTACACGGGTGCCTCCAAACATCAAAAATGGAAATAGTTTCCTTAGGCCATTTATAGTTAGCTCACTAAGCCACCCTCATCTTAATGAGCTCCAGAAGCAAGGTCATGTCCCAAGCTTTGCCATCAAACACCAATTCATTCCTTGACATCCATACCGCCCACACAATAATAAAGAACGACATTTTCCATACCTTCTTTTTACTTGGTTCAATGTAATGTCATTGCAGCTAAAAGCTTCAGCAACAATGTTGAAAAGGAATGGAGAGAGAGGACAGCCCTGTCTTACACCCTTCCTCATCTTGGCTAACCTAGTGGGTGATCTGATGATAAGTATAGCTACTATTGCAGTCAAGACACAGTTCCTAATCCATTTCCTCCGTCGATCTTGAAAACCTATTTTGCTCAACAAAAAATCCAGAAAGTTCTAGTTTGCACTGTCGTAGGTTCTTTTGAAGTCAACCTTAAAGAAAACTCTACCTTCCTTACTTTTTCGTAGACTCTCAGTAAGTTCGTTAGCAACTAAGACTTAATCAGTAATATGTCTCTTTTTTATGAATGCAAATTGGTTCAGTTCAACCACATCACCTATAACCATACTGAGTCTTTTGGCCAAGACTTTTGCCCTTACTTTGTAGATGTTACCAACGAGGCTTATCGGTCTATACTCACCAAGCATTATAGGGTTGTTGCATATCGGAATAAGGGTAATAAAAGTTGAATTGAGTCTCTTATCGAAATCACCTGTATCATAAAACGAGTGCATAACCTCCATTACCTCATCCTTGATCCTTTGCAATTGAGCTTTAAGAAAATTTAAACCATCTGGTCTGGGGCCTTTGTTGCCGTTGCAGCTAAAAATGGCCTCTTTTACTTCATCTTCTGTAAACATAATTTTCAACCCATCAACCAATTGTTCAGGAACCTTACGAAAGTCGATATCCCAATTCTGTAACTCAAGAACTCTTCTCTGTCCATGCAAAGATTCAAAGTGTAAAGCAGCAGCTTTCTTGATAACTTAGCGTATCTTCAAGAACAACATCATTCACTTTAAGTCTATCAATAAAATTCCTCTTATGCCTCGCAGAGGCAATAGCATGGAAAAATCTAGTGTTCTTATCCCCTTGCAGGAACCACCTCGCTCTAGATTTTTGATGCCAGGATCCTTCCTTTGCCTTGTATAATGCCCAAAGGTCAGTCCTCAGTCTTGCAACTTCTGCCTTGTACGAGCTATCCCTCCACCTACTGTGCCATTCGTTTAGCTTTGGCTGAATTTCTTCTTCTAACTTGGCTATTCTAAGGTGTCGGTTTCCCCAGACAGAGTGCTGCCAGTTTCTGATCATCGGTTTAATGCCCTTGAGTTTTCCCCAAATGTCCTGGTTTCTACTATTTTTACAACTTTCATCCCATGCAATGTCAGAAATCTATTGAAAATGATTATCCTCCGACCAATGATTATAAAAACGGAAGGGTTTAGGTCTCCAATTAGTATCATTAACACTCAGAACTGCTGGGTTATGGTCGGACAACAAAAAAAGGAACACCACTGCCTAATGTTCTGAAATTTTTTCACTACCTCTTGACACACCAAAAATCTATCAAGTCTACTGAATATCACCTTGTTGTGGTTGTTACACCAAGTGTACTTACCCCCACTCTAAATGGTAAGTTGATCAACCTGAGCTCATTGACCACTTGTTGAAAGAACTCGATATCTCTGTCATCTAAGGTAGCTCCTAATATCTCTTCTATTTTCGGAACATAATTAAAATCACCACCCAAGAGCCATGGAAGATCTGACTCCTTTACCTTTTCCATTAATTTCACAAACATTTCCACCTTCTTCCTTGCATTTGTTGGTGCATAAATATTCCCTATTCTGCATTTCCGATTCCCATCTGTCATTCTACCTTCCAACAGTATGAAATGTCTACTGACATAACTATGATCAACCAAGAAATACTTTTCCTACCACAAAGTAATAACACCCCCTGATGCCCCCTCTGAGCTGACCCCAATCCCTTTGAACTCACTTCTTCACTCAGCGAGTTAAGAAATCTTCTATCCACTTTTTTAATTTTTGTTTCCTGAAGCAATACCACTCATGGTTTCTAGCGTTGATTAGGTTCCTCACGGCCCTGCGTTTCTCAAATTTACCCAAGCCCCTGACATTCCAAGTCATGATCTTTATCCAATTACTGCTTTAACCCTCAATGTACCTTATTTCTAGTACCTACTGTGCTTCTTTGCCATGCATCTCTAGTTCCAATTTATTAAATTCCCTTGTAATTGACTCCCTGTCCTCAGTGAAATGAAGGCTCAATCTGCTAGCTACCCCTCATACTTTCTCTGCGTCCTCCTGAATGGTTTTGTCATTAATCATAATATTGCCACCTAAAGATTTAATTTCAGCTTGTAACTAGTTCTCTTCTCAATTTAATCCCTTCATCACTGCCTCTCTTAACCGCATTCTTCGTTGTTTCTCAGATATATTCTTCTCAATGTTAGCTCTGACCCTAACATAATCCTCTTCTTTGTGGTTGACCCCCCTATCCACATTTTGACTACCGTTCCCGACTTGCACTTGATGACTTACCTGAATTGTCTCCATTAATCCAATCTCGCCTATCGCTGATTTTATAGTATCACCAAGGCCTTCAGATATATTCTTCGTAACCTGTATAGTCTCCGAAGTGCTTACACGGCTTGGTTGAACCATGTTGTGCCCTTCTTCCATCAAGTCTTCCTCGCGGTGGACCTCTTCCATACAATTCTCCAAACCCATCCCTGTCGTCGATTCTTCTGAAACCACAACCACTAGTTCTTTCATTTTTTCCCTTTGCGTTACCTTTTTTTCTTTTGTTGTCCCTACCGTTGACCACCCTTTATGTTGTAGTCTGAAAGCTATCCTTGCAAGCTTTTTCCCAATCAAATTCCTTTTCCTTTTTGGGACCCATTGAACAAGCGGAGCATCCTCATCAACAATTCTTTCTTGACCACTTGCTTCGTCTCTCTTCTCATTTTGCAGTGATATCACCTAGTTGTTGCAATTCCCACATATTGGGTTTCTGAGATTATTCGCATTGGATCCACTAGAGTCCCAATTGTTGGCTGGGCCCACTCCCTGTCTTGTTCTTACTCCCTCAGAAATCGACCCCCCACATTCAGGGACCTTCACTATGGAATCTAACATGTTTGTCAACTTCAGGTTCTGTTGCTTCATGTTTCCACTGGGCCCATGATTTATTGTGCTTGAGGCCCCAAACTCCCACTGATCGGCGACGTAGTCCATATGTCACAGTTTTGGCCTATTTAAAATATGGCCTATCACGTGTTCACTTGAGTCCACTGAAATTCCTTTATTGGCTTCTGTCTTCTTTGAGTTATCTTTCAAACTCTCTAACTTAGAGTTTGACGTGTAATCATCATCAATACTTTTTACAAGCCTTACAATCTGTTGACATCTTGCCACCATTTGTGCTCCATCAATTCTATGATTAGTTGTTCTTTTCAATTGACTTTTGGTTAATGCCTTAGCAGTTTGAAAATCGCAATTTTGTCACCCAAATGGCTAATTTCTCGAGGTTTGTCCTTTCTTTGCTACTATTCCCAACCACTGTATTCCCCGTACTTCGGCTAAGCTGACCTTCGTTAACGGCTCTCTTTTGGTTGCACTTGATTTCCCTCTCTTTTCTGGATCCCTCATTAACCTCATAAGTCCTTGAAGACGCCCTCTGTCTTGTTTGTTCCAACCAAAATCCTAGCCTGGTTGAATCTCTATATGTTCATGGTAGCGGCATCCGATTTAATGTATGTCCCCCATTTATCACTTATTAGTTTGAAAAGGTCTTCATGCCGCAAAAACCATAGTGTGTTCCTAACTTTGACCCATACTTCATGACTGAAGTTTTGCCTTTCTCCTTTAAATGGCACTAGCTCCACAAACTAATCTTTAAAGTTATCTCAATAAAATTGGATGAGATCCTCCATGAAAGTCCTATCCTTGAAGGTAGCAATTACGTGGTATTCGTCCAACGTCTTTATCTCAACCTCAGTCCCTTCTCTGGCTAAAGCCGCTTGGATTTTGACACCCTTACCCTAGTTCTCAATGTGCGAACTGCACTTCTAAAGACCCAGCACATCTCTCCTCTGATGCTGGTTGAATCAAACTTAATTTCCTCGACATCGGCCTTGTTTGAAATCCACCTAGCTTCGCTAACTGCAGGAAAATTACTCTGATAAGATTTGTGTCCGTAGGGAGTAGGCCTTCGTACTACCAATGTGAAGGACCACCTATCAAAAGCTGCAGCAAGTTTAGGACGACTGCTAAACCATTGTCCAAAATGTTGTGCTCTTTCCTCCCCTCGAGCAATGGTTTTAGAATTGTCTTGGAATCGCCCTTTGTACAATTAGAAATCTTCCATCCATGACATAATTATCTCAACATTTAACTGCTCTAGCCATTTCCTCCTTTTCTTTGTACCTAACGAAGGCATAGGCACAAGTACCTCTATTTTCGTCCTTGCCTTGACGGACAAAGACATCCATGACTCTACCGAGGGGGGAGAACCAATCCCTAACCTCTGCGTTTGAGATGCCTGGTTTTAGATTCCCTACATAGATGGAGTGGAGGGAATCTCTCCATAAATCCAAGCTATGGTTCACCTTGCTACTTTTGAAACTATTATTACTCTGATGCCTGACGGAGAATCCAAAGTTCCATCGTTGCCAGTGTCAAACCTAGCTCTGATGAACTGATTTTTACGTAGCCTATAGTTTTCTCTCTCTCTCTCTATTGACAATGTCCGTCGTGGTTTTTTAAAGTGATGGTCTAACTAGAAGCTTTCTCCTGCAAAGTGGCTTCCTATAACCATTGTTGCGCATATGCCCGTGAGAAACCCTCAGCAACCTGCATTGAACTACTTTGCCCTCATTCAAAACAAATTTTGCAGTTTAGTTTTAATATTCAACAAAACGAATTTAAAATGTAAATTAGAAAGCACATATATCAAAGTCTATTGTGAACGAGATCTTGTCTCAGTGACATGGAGGAGACCCTAAGATCCTGGGATGCCAGATTCAAATCCCACCATGTTTGAGTTTTGATCCAACTAACTGGTTGGTTGATCAGACTGTTTGGTTTATTTCAATAATTTCTTATACGAAATGCTATACTTTGTTGTATTGGTAACTTTCATTTTTACATATAACTTAATAAAAAAGGGCCTATCTGATTTGAATGATAAAATATTTCATCAATGCAACTTAAGCAAAAGCAATATATAAGATGAAATTGACAAAACCAGTTTACCACCACCTTTAAAATGAAAGCCTTCACTCCCCAGATAGCTGCAGTTACATTAGCTGCCTAAGTGTTTTTGTTTTTCAGAATGCAGATCCTGAAATTCTAAAGTAATTTTAGATAATGAAAATGATCCCTAATGTACCTGGGGAAGCTATCATTTTAAACCCTGCAAGCCAAATTAAGCCTTCTTATGTTAAAACTTAGGCAGTCTAAGATTAGAATGCATGATTTCGCCCTTAGCTGTTCCAGTAAATTCTTGCTCTGACATTGATATTTCTGGCTTCTGTTGATTATTGCAGAATTTCAAAGCTTATTAGTGCTACACTTCATTTGCCCACAGTGGATTAAGGTAAAAGATAGAGCCAAGGATAAAGCTCTTTTGAACATGTTCATGAAACTCGACTAATTTCTTTATTTTTTGGTCATATATTAGCATTAAAATCGTTTTTGGAAACACATTTTCATTGAAATCATGTCTCTATAAACACAGTTTCCATTAAAATAGCATTCTGAGGTTTCAAGTTTGAGACACCATACTTCATTTTCCTTTGAGTTTACTGAGATACTGATCATTCAAAGAGTTCTCATGACCATGCTCTTTGCATTCTCAGGTTCAACAGCAGAAGGGCCTCTTTTTGTTCATATTTCATCATCTCATGATGATGATGATGCTTTTATCACAAAGACAGAGAATCATTAGATTGAATTCAGTCTGTATTTTTTTTCTTAATATCGTTTATTATAGAAAAGGGACAAATAAAAAAGGATGGAAGGAATATATAGTTGACTGTACTTTGTTAAAGATAAGAATTAACATTCTACAAGGCATGGCCATACTAGCACGTGACACTTTATGTTTATATTTCATGCATTTTAGTACACTACATATGGCAATTTTTGTATTTTATACTTTATAATATCTTAAATATACCAAATATGTCATAAAATACAAAAGAAACAAAATAAAGCAACTTTCAATAGAATCAGGGGCGGAGCGTCCCTTTGTGGCTCCTCCAAATTTTTGAAATTTTTTATATATTATATATTTTTAATGATTTTTTAAAATAAGTAATATAATTAAAAATAATAAAAAGACTTCACAAATTTTATTCAATTTTACTTAATTTTTTTTTATTTTTGAAGTTTCTCCATTCATTTTTTTCTCTTTTCTTTTTTGTTTTTATATTGTGAAATTACAAAAAAGTAAAGTTTTTGTTTGATTTTTTAATTTATATTATTATTTATTTGTTTTAATTATATTTTATTTACTCAATATTTTAAGTTTTTATATATATATTTTTTAAATTTTTACGAATCATCAACTATATTTTTTTTTATTATATAAGTTATATTTTTTACTTGTCATGAGTTTTTTTTCTTATTATGTAAAATTTATTTTTAACGATTTTAATTTTTTAAAAATTAAAAAATTATTGTATATATTATTCTCAAATATAAGTTTTAGTGTTGCATTATTAGTTGTTGTTTAAAATTTCACTAATGTATTATTTTTTATTAATTCTAATTATATAAGAAAAAATTATCTTGAATATATGTCTTTAATGTGCTTTACATTTTGTATTTAGTTGAAAGGAAATTATCTTGAGTGTAAGAATAAATTATTAATTATGTATATTTTATTTAACTATTTATATTTTATGTATTATAGTTTAATATTTAGTATTATAAACATAAATATAATAAAGTACAAATATTGGATGTTGATTACATTAGTTTTTTAGTCGATTATAATGAGAAAGACAAAATTTCGAAATAAAATAGATAAGTTTCTTATAAATAATTTAGTCGTTTATATCCAAAAAAATATTGTCATCGTTGAACAAAACTTTCTTAGAGCACTATTATAAGTTTTTTTTTTCTTTTTGTTTCTTTTGATTTACATGTAATGTAAAATTATTGTCTATTATAAATCTTTTAATTATTAACGGTTAAGTTCAATACATTAATTTTAAAAATTTTTAACTTCTATTCTTTTTAATCTTTGGTCTTTTCAATAAAAATTGACTAACTTCGCTCCTGAATAGAATGTAATTAGTGGTAAAATGATTGTTGAGAAATAATATTGTAGTGATGGGTATATATGAAAAGATAATAATTAAAATCTTAGAAAGACAACATTGTATCATTCGTTTAGGAGCAATTTATTGACAATATAGAATTAATTTACAAAATTACTCTTGTAAATGAAAATATAAATTGATATATTAAAAAATTATTTCAATTGTAATTACAATTTTTATTTAATACTAATAACTATGCAATCTCTTTGACAAAATAGTCAAGAATAATAAAATTAGTCAGCCTATAGTAAGAGGAGCTGGCCATGTACCCTGGAGGCCCAGAAAACTACAGACACCATGATTAACAGAGCATACAAGCATGGCAACCTCACCATACAGAGTCAACCTAAATATATCACCCAGCCAAATTATGTAATATGAAATTTGTAATCACTTGACTTCAATGGATTTTTTATTTCCGCTCTGTTCCTCTTGACTCTTTGGGTTTTTGCTTTCCCTCTCTCCCCTGTCCCGAACCCACAAAGCCAACCTCTTGAAGCAGCTGATCGGTTTGCAGTGGAAGTTAAACCCACAGCTCTAGCACAGGACCTGGAGCATTACATCAATGTTTTTTCGGAAATTTTAATCATCAAAGAGGTAAATGTGCAGATTTTGAGCTACCTTTTAATGTTCAGATGATAAAAGAACCCTGCATTACATGTCAAAAAAAAAAAAACCCTGCATTACATGTCTGCAAAAATCTGCAATCTGTTTCTAAAACCCATTTGCAGTTTGCTCATCTGAATATAATTCCAAGAGCAATCAGTCAGAGTCTGAAAATGAATGGTAGAGATTAATCAAACCATTTGATAGCACAAGTGCGGCGACAAGCTGCAGCGGCGAGGGTTTTTGGGGGCGAAGAGAAGAAGAAGAAGAAGAAGAAGAAGAAGAAGAAGAAGAAGAAGAAGGAGAAGGACTTGGGCTAAAATACGGAAGCAAAAAATTGTAACTTTCCCAACCATTTTCAATGAGAATTGCATTCTCATTGATCATCCATGATACTGACATGCCCAAGATAATATTTTTTTATATCCAACATGGTAATCAGTGATTATCCATGATACTGACAATCCCAAGATAATATTTTTTTATCAAACATGGTAATCAGTTGGAAATGTGATGTCTATTTATTAAAATCCTGATAATATAATTGATAATATCAATACGATGTATTTCACCTAAAAATATATAGCTAAGACTCAAGAGCTAAGACTTGTAGACAGAAACCCATCTCCAGAGCAAGATATTCAGGCAACATGGCTTCACTACCAGACCAACAAAAAATGTCACAAAACGAGTTGGATTTCTTGCGGGCACTGCAAGCAGCTACAGCTCCAACACTTCCTCTGGTATTGAAAGCTGCCATAGATCTTGATTTGTTAGAGATCATGGCAGCAGCAACTGCTAGCAATAGCATGCTTTCTCCTACTGAGATTGCCTCTCGTCTTCCTACACAAAACCCAGACGCCCCAACCATACTCGATCGCATTCTTCGCCTTCTTGCCAGTCACTCTATTTTAACATGTAAACTAGTTGCAGGAAGAGATGAACATGCTCAAAGATTATATGGCCTAGGACCAGTTGGCAAATATTTCGTCCGAAATCAAGAAGGAAATTCTCTTGTTCCTACCCTCAGAGTGTCTTTGGAAAAATTTTATATGGAGTGTTGGTCAGTTGTTTCTCTTTCTTTTCCAATATTCATCTTTATCTGTTGTCAGTTTATGAGTATTCCGAAAGGAGATTTGAATCTTAACCTTACAATTTTTTTAGTAGAAAACAATAATGACTGTTAAGTTAAGCTTAAGTTGAATATTATGCATCTATTTCCTAAGTTAATTAATTAATTTTTTTTTTTTTGCGATTTTTCACATAGGTATCACTTGAAAGAAGCAACATTGGAGGGTGTGTTACCATTCATGAAGGTACATGGGATGCATTTGTTTGAGCTGGCTGCAAAAGATGATAAAGTTAGTAGCATGTTCAATGCTTCAATGAGCAATCTCACCGGCATGGTCATGAAAAAGGTCCTGGAAACTTACAAGGGATTTGAGGCCTTGAGCCAGGTAGTAGATGTTGGTGGTGGAGTAGGTGCAAACCTTAGTCTTCTAGTTTCCAAGTACCCACAAATTAAGGGTACTAACTTTGATTTGCCCCATGTCGTTAGAGATGCACCCCTCATACCAGGTAATTCTAGCTAGCCACTTCTAATTCAATCTATATATCTTGGTATTTTCTTTTTCTTTTTAATCATACCTTATTATTTCAAGTAAAAATTCCCATTTTTTTTATTCAAAAAAAGTTTAAGAAATGGAAAAAAAAGGTATGATCAAAATTTAGTTTCCACTTAAACTTTTCTTGATTTTCTTTCTCAATTTTAGGAGTGGAGCATGTTGGAGGAGACATGTTCAGCAAAGTTCCTAAAGGAGAAGTGATTTTCATGAAGGTTAGTACACTAACAATTTGTTTGATCAACTGAAGCAAGTGATTCCAATAATTTGTTGTTTATGTCTATATTTACAATCATAAATAAATTTGGTTCTTTGTAGACAAAAAAAGAGTTTTTTTTTTTTGCTGTAAAAATTTTGCAGTGGATACTTCATGATTGGGGCGATGAACAATGCTCAAAGCTATTGAAGAATTGCTTTGAAGCATTACCAGAGAATGGTAAAGTGGTGATCGTGGAATCTTTACTACCAGAATTCCCCATGACTGACATTGTGACTAAGATTACCTTTGAGCTTGACGTGAGTGTGTTGCACATGATCCCTGGTGCAAAGGAGAGAACAAAACAGGAATTTGAGGCATTGGCAAGAGAGGCTGGTTTCAAAACTTTGAATGTTGTTTGTCGTATTTACAGCTATTGGGTCATGGAATTGTGCAAAAATGTTAACATTGCCAATTAAAGGGAGAGCCATCACCATTAATTTGGAGCTTATATATATATATATATATATTTGCTGATTTCAGTTTACATTAATTTGTCTTTATTTTTCTTTAACAATCTATTTTTACGGGCAATGCATGGACTTGATTATTGTGTTTCCAAAGCTCCTAGCATTCCATATAGCTAGTGATGTTCATTGCCATTTAATAATGAATAAGCAAAACAGGGAAAACATGAATGACAATTCTAGAGAAGCAGGACCTGCATGGACTGCTTCACTATTCATGGCACTACTAGCTAGATTAGCCTTTTTTAAATTTTCTGCATCGAGTCTTTAATGGAGTTGGCGAGACAGAAAATCATCTTTGTCTAAACAAGTTGTAAAATAAACATTTGTTTCCGTTTCTTTCTCTTACCCTTTTTGTCCTTTTGGTTTCCGTCACGATTTCAACAAACCTTGTGGAAAATTGCTGTCTTGCAACTACCAATTAATGTTATTATTGGAGTAGTTGGTTGGTACACTCATTCAGGCCCAATTATTGATATATATATATTCTCATATTCAAAAAGTCAAAGTCAAAAACCTAAATAAAAAATATAGAAATGAAGTGTAACGTACAAAAGTTGCTACATGCCTTCACTTTCATATTGTTTTTATCTCAACTTGATTGTAGTTTCTATCAGTGACAGGATTAGGATTTTACGTTTAAGAGGTGAAGAGTTGAAAATAATATTTATTAAACAGTCATGTTAAAAGTTTAATGTTTAACAAAAATATAAAGCTAACTTAGATGAAAATAGTTCATATGAAAATTATAAAATTAAATTCTGAAAATTATTTAAAAGAATCAATTTTAATAACTTACTGAAAAGAATTAACTAGTATAATCATAAATAATTCAATAATGATAACAATCTCAATTTTTAGATAACTTAACAATAAATAAAAATTAACAAATATAATAACAAAAACCTCAATTGGAAGTAATCCCTTAAAAAATATTAAGAACTATAAATAAACAATTCAATGGGGAAGCAATTCTTTAAAATTAGTCACAGAAATTCAATACAATATCAATAAACAATTTATTGACAAAGCAATCCCAAATAAAAAACTTAATTGTTCACAAGAATCTAAGAAAAAAAACACAAAGAATTTGTAGGAAAGCAATCAAGTAACCCCAAAATAAATAAGTAATAACTAATATTAGGTGTTTAATCAAATCTTTGTTTTGTTGCTTTCAATAAAAAATGGCTAAGACGATAAATCTCAAATCAAAATTACCAAGTAGAAATTATTAAATAAAAAAAATTAAAAGTGAAAAATATATCAAAAATAAAATAAGTAAATAAACCAAACTTATAGATTTTTATGATATGAAATTGAGTTATTGATTAGAGGTTTTCCATATCGAGAATGCTGGCAAACAAAAAGTATAAAAAATTATTTTTTGGTTTTTATAGTATTTGGTTTCTACAAAAGGTGGTGGTTGTGAGGTTTTGGAGAAGTGGGGTTTGAGAATTATTCTATTGCAATAGGTTTTATTTTAATTCTATTAAAATTAATTGTTGACTAATTGTTGTGGACATCTCACCAAATAAAAAATTATTGTAGAGATAAAATTATAAAATTTCAAACAAATAAAATATGTTGGAAAAACTTTAAAAATTTTATAGGGGTGAAATTATAAGATTTCAAAAAAAAAGAGTAAGTTATAAAAAATTAAAAAACGGTTGGTGGAGCAGGCCTCTAATATCCCCCTCCACCTCTAGTTAATTTCTACCCATAGACAACGACAGCTCAATAACTTTAGGTCTAAAATTAAATATTCAAATGAAATCTTTTTTATTGAAATTATGAAAATGAGACTTTTTTTTTGTTAAAGTTAAGGAAGAAAGAGCAAATAAGGAGAGAAAATTCATAAATGGATGTTATAAATTGAAAAAAAAATTAGTTTCATATATAAGAAAAAAATGGTTGGAGACCATTAAATACATATTATGCTTAGTTGATTGGAAATCAAAAAAATAGTTGAGAATTAACAGCATTGTGAGGATTGAAAAGTGATAAAAAAAATTGAGATTTATCAGATTCATGATTAGGGAAGTAAAAGAATATGTCATTTTATTAATTATTTTGACTTTTATATATTTTTAATAAGAAATGAGATAAACAGTTGAGAATGAATAGGGATGTGAAAGTGAGAGAAAATAAATATTTATTAGGCATGAGAGAATAGGTAAATATTTTATTAATTATTTTAATTTTTATTTATTTTTAATATAATTAATTATATTAGTATTATAAAATTATGAGGCCTATGAAAATTTAGGGCCTAAAGCCTTTATTTTGGTGGTCTTATCCCAAAGACGTCCCTGTGTCACGGGGTCATTACTCTCTCCCCCATAAACGCGCTTAGAAGGGTGCGCAGCATCGCTTTCGGCGACTCCCACTGGACCCACCGGCCTCAATCCTGCCTATCTCGGTTCGTCGGGACGCTTGGCATGTCGCAGGAGTGTTAGAGAGTCAGTCATTACCCTTTCCCCCATAAACGTGCTTATAGGAGTGTGCAGCACACTCGCTTATAAAGAGTCTAGGACCTCCCGTTCATGTCCGATATGGGATAGAGACACTTTCCTCGTGACACTCTCTCCCACCTGATTTCGGCAACGCCCTTGTTGCCGTCGGCCACCCTACCTACCCTGAGTCCCTTGGGTCCAAGCGCTTGGCGTGAGTTAGACGAGGTCCGGTCTGCTCTGATACCACTTATCACGGGGTCATTGCCCTCTCCTCCATAAACGTGCTTAGAAGGGTGCGCAACACCGCTTTCGACGACTCCCACTGGACCCACCAGCCTCAACCCTGCCTACCCTGATCCGTCGGGATACTTGGCATGTCGTAGGAGTGTCGGAGAGTCAGTCATTACCCTCTCCCCCATAAACGTGCTGATAGGAATGTGCAGCACACCCGCTTATAAAGAGCCCATGACCTCCCGTTCCTGTTCAATGTGAGATAGAGGCACTTTCCTCTTGACACCTGCCCACTGATAGCCGTAGCAGTCACCATTCACTATCCATCTCAAATTCAACAATAATTGCCAAGTTATTTATGAGGCCTTTATCTTACCAAGACTTTGTTGGTGTATTTTCAAAATATAAGATTATGTTACATAGTGTGATATAATGTGACTATTGAATTATAGGTAAATTTTTCATATGAATAGTTATTTCTTGATAAAGTAATATGTTGAAAAAACACCTTTAAATCAAAATGTTATAAAAAGTTTGGATATAAAATGTTATCTTTTCATATTATGGCTTAAAGATTATGTTTTATGAAATAAATGGTTATCTTTTCATCAAATGATTATTAAAATAATATTTTTATCCAAGAATTGTGTATTACAAAATACAGAGATATCTTTAAGATAAAAAGGTGACTTGATAAAAAGGATTCTGCTCTTGAGAAAAGATACTTGTAAGTCTATATAAAAGACTTGTTGTCAACTATTTTGATATCCCAAGAATAAATAAAATAAGAGCAAAAAATTCAATAGAGATAGAAGTGTTATATTTTGAAAACAAATATAAACTCTTAATTTCTCATCATTACCAAAGAAATCCAAATTTCTTATAATATACTTATTGTAGAAAGTAAGTTCTAAGATTGAACAACTTTGCAAACCTTCAGTTGTATTTAATAGTCTATTCTTGTAAAGTATAGATGAAATTAGATGTTGACTTTATTGTATATCCAAAACTATTAACATATTTCTCTTTTTACTTACAGATGAGGGTGAAATAAATTTTAAATATAGCATCTATTGAAAAACTCGTCTTGATGTCATTTTTATTGATTCTTTGAATTCCATCTAAACTTCATTTGCACCAACAGACTTTCTATATATAATTGTTCCCTTTCCATCCAAATAAAGAATATTGTAGCTTACTAGTTAGTGACAAAGCCAAAGTAGTAATGGGTGGTGACGGTTGCCACCCTTTAGTTTTTCAGCTTTTAACTTTTATTATATATATATAAAATTTAAAATATATAGATCCATGACTCACTACAACAAATTTGACCTAAGACAGAACATTTTTAAAATGTGCTACTAAAAATATTTTTAATAACACTTTTTTATATTTTTTAAAATATTTTTGTAGATCTAACCTCATTATATAAATTTTTAAATGCATTATGAATAAAATGTAATGATAAGAATTACATACATTAGTAAAGGTTGCACTTTTTTATATTACTAATAAATGTGAAAAAAGTGAAACTAAAGGTTTAAATAGCTACACTTTTTAAAATTTTACTATACAAAAAAATATATCACCTAAAGAAGTATGATTAAAACTTAATTTTCTTATAGTGACTTTATATAATTATTCTTTAATTACCTATCATATAAAATCTTGGATCTGTCATTATTACTAGCTAACTAGTTATGTTTGAGCACTTTCTTACTTCTATCTTTTTCACATCTATATTCATAAAAAATGATTCGACTATCACGGAAATCAAAATATTAATTACCTCAAATTACTTGAGTAGAAGAAAAGTTTTAAGCCCTCCAAGAATTAAATACAAATGTTAATGAAATAAATGACTTAGGTGGGATGAAATTAAGTTAGAGAGTTAAGTAGTGCTCTCAAAAAAAAAAATGAATTCTATAAAGTATTCATGTCTTAGATCTATTTATTCTCCCAACTATAAAATCCCAACGCAGCTAAGATCTTCATCCAAACCCATATATATATATATATATATATATATATATATATATTGCTTCATAATCACATATATGCATACACATACATGCATATATGTATATTATATTCGATAATTATGATTTTTAATTTAGCACTTTCTTGACGAGATCTTCCATATTATTCATGATTAGTATGGGTGATAATAATTTTCATCATGTTATCGACAGGAACTACTTGAAAGAAGTAACATTGGAAGGTGGCTTCTCATTCGTCAAAGCATTTGGAATGCACTGGTTTGAGTTGAT